TTTTTAATATCTATTTTTTAGTTTTCAGTGGACACAACATCTTTGTATGTGGTGCTGAGGATCGAACCCGGGCCGCATGCATGCCAGGCGAGCGTGCTACCGCTTGAGCCACATCCCCAGCCCCGGATTGCCTGTCCTTGAGCCAAGGAAGAAGAGAACACACCCAGTGTTTGCGTGGGCAGTCAGTTGTGGGAGAAAGCGACCTGTGCTCAGGCTGAAGAGGAAAGAAAGACACCCAACAGGTGGCCATGAGCCAGGGGCACTGGCACACACCTGTGATCCCAGCCACTCAGGAGGCTGAGACAGGAGGATCACAAGTTCAAGGCCAACCTGGGCAACTTGGTGAGACCCTGTCTCAAAATAAAATGTAGAGATTTTAAAAGAGGCCAGTGAGGTAGCTTTGTGGCAGAGCACCCCTGGGTTCAAGTTCCAGTACCACACACAAACCAACCAACAAAACCGGGGGCCGTTTGGGACTTCTTGAGTGTGGTATTTCCAGATACCCCCAGTAAGTCTTCTGAGGGTGGATGTAGGGGCTGGGCTGTGGCTCGCGGTAGAGCTGTGCGTACATAGTGTGTGCAAAGCCCTGGCTTCAGCCCTCAAGACCTTGGTACTGTTAAGAAAAGAGCATGGTGGATTTTCAGGAAGGACTGGGAGCTACTTCCTCACCACCTGGTGCTCTAGCGAGACAAGGGTAATCAAGCCAAGGAGATGTCAATCACAAAGGCTCAAGGAGCGGCTGTGCTTGCCCTGTGGCCCTTCCCTGCAGAGCCCAGTCCGGGCGGGTACCTGGACGTGGAAGATGTCGTTGAGGAGACAGTGGAACTTCTCGTCCAGCAGCCTCCTGACTCTGCTTTGAAGGTTGGTCTGCCGCTCCTTGTAGTGTCTGCAAGTGTCCAGACCCAGCACGTTGGCCATGAGTATCTGGACGGTGTAAAAGTTCTGATGGAAGCTGATCTTAGTCAACGCGATAGCAATGGTTCTGTTCATGAGAAACCAAGAGTCAGAAGAGAGTTTGGCTTACACTTTTCAGAAACACCGAAGTGAAGAGGAGCTCTGACTCCTCTGGTTCAGCCGCGACGACAGACTCTCCAAGCTCCGTGGCAGCGGCTGCTTTCTGCTGCCGACCTTCCTCTTCCACTGTGCACCCAGCTCCCGCCACCTGGCCCAGCTGTCCCTGCCCCTGCCCCATGGATCTGACAGAGGCGCACCACAGGAGCCTGAGGGAGTGGCTGGTTGCCCACTGGGCTGAAGGTGTTGCTCCGTGGAGGAGCTTATCTCGGCACAGGGCCCTGGCCTGAGCCCAGTCCTGGGAGGGGCGGCCGACCCCACCGGATCACGCCGACCCGGAGCTGTTCATGGTTCCCACTGCCTAAAGGCCTGCGTCCACGCTCCCTTCTGTGACTTCCCGAGGTCTCACGTCAGCCCTGCTCCCTGTCTAGTGACCTTCCTTCACTGCCAGCAAGCGGATGCATCCTTGCCACCTTTGCTGAGGTCATCCGTGCATGTGCGTGTCCCTGGTGTTGCTGGTGGCCCCACGTGGCCCCTCATGGCTGTTCATCTGTTAGTCCCCTCAGGCTGCTCCTGGAGACCCTTGCTGCCCAAGGCTGGGTCACATTCCCTTCTCCCTGAGGGCAGGGATCAGGCATTGCTCGGGATCATTGACCCGTCCCCGCAAGTCCTTGTGCTGAAGTCATGGCCCCCGGGATCTCTCATTTGAGAACAGGAAGGTTAGAGAGGGGTTAGTTAAGGTGAGACCTTATTAGAGATGGCTGGGTCCCCAAACCACCTTGTCTGGTGTCCTTATGAAAAGGGGAAATTTGGACACAGAGGCTCCAGGGGAGGCTGCCACGTGCAGACTAAGGCAGATGTCTGGGTGACGCTTCCACAAGCCAAATAGCATCAGACGGGGCGGCCAGCTGCCAGAAGCCAGGAGAGAGGCCTGGGAGAGGTCTTCTTCCTCGACCCGGGAAGGAGCAGCTCAGCTGCTGCCTGGACCCTTGGCTGGGCCCCCAGAACTGTGAGACCGGCTTCCCTGTTGTCCAGCCGCCCCGTCTGTGGTTCTCTGGTGACCTGCACAGCCCTCAGTGGTCCCGGACCCTGTGGGACTTGGTAAGTGCCCACGTGAAGGAACGCCTCCCCCCTGCTGTGGATCAGCCCTGGCAGCGGGCAGGGTTTTGAAACGGGCTTTTCTCAGGCCTGACATTGAGGAGGGATAGAAAGACAGGGGTTAGCAAGTAGTTTCCCCTTCACCCCTTAGAGGGAAAAGCTGTGTGAGACACCATAGTCATCCTTGTGGCCATCATTACTGTCACTTCTGCAAGGGGCCAGGCAGACTGTCCCAGAAAGGGCCTTGCACACCCGGCACATGAGGATAGAGGAACAGTGTAAGATATTATGTCAGCTTCGCCCTCCAGAGCAAGTCCCCAGGACGGTCACTGTTCCACTCACAGGGTGACAAACTTGTGTGTGTTCTGCTGGCGAAATCTAGCCCTGATCACAATGTCTATGCTAGTGCTCCTCAACCTGTGGGCATGTTGGGATGATTTAGGAAGTTTAAGATACCCAAGCCCCACCTGGCTTCAAGTCAGGATTTCCAGCAACCAGACCAGAAAGTTGCTCTTTTCCTTAGTTCAAAATATTTATCAGGGCTGGGGATGTGGCTGGGTGGTAGAGCACTTCCCTAGCATGCATGAAGCCCTGGGTAAAATTCTCAGCACCACCAAAACAAAAAGAATTAATCTTGTTAATTCATCATCAGATTTGGCACAGGGTCATATCACCCCAAAATACTCATCATCATCTATTTGGTGCAGGGTCATATCTCCCCAAAACTACAGAAATGCCAAGTAAATGGAGCTGCTCTCAGGGGGCAGGACCTCTGACAAGGAGAGAGAATTCCCAGGACTCACCTGTGGTTCTCACCTTGAGCCAGGTACTCAATTTCCATAAGTATCTGGCTTTTTCCATATCCAAATAATCCTTCGTACATTAGGATTCGGCTGCAGTTAGACATCAAGAATTCCTTCATGGTACGCATAAAGTATCTGATCTCTTTATCACGCCCTATTGTTTTTATTTATTTTTTTTAAAAAAGAGGAGCAAAATCAGCAACACAAAGAAGTCCAGATATTTAAAAAAGCACAGAGGGACACCCCTTCTAAGTCTATCCTAGGAATTTACATGGCATGGTTCAGACTTTACTGAGGCCCTGCAAACTTTTTAAAATCTTTCTTGGGAATTTTCCAGTTAACAAGGTGATTTTGCAGTTGTATTTTAGTAGCACAGTTGTAAAAGAAAGTTGTTTTTTTTTTTTTTTCCTGTGCTGGGGATGGAACCCCAGAGCCTCTTGCACGCTAGGCAAGAGCTTTGGAACTCAGCTACAAGCCAGCCCCCAGTAAAAGTATTATTTTAAACTCATTATAATTCCATTTAATTTGCTCATACTAAATGGAATTAAACCAAGTCTATTAATACTAAAGCTTGCTTTTTCTTTCTACATCACACTAGTAGTAAACTATAGATTTATTGAGATTAGAGCTCTAATACTGAACAAATATACAGAAAACAGTTTTATTTCCAACTCTGTGATGAAGGAAATCTTCCCTCATAAATGCAAACCACATTGTCTCAGGGCTGCTAAGAAGCGTTATTAGGGTTAAGAAAGTCCAATTCACCTCCAGAAATCATATACATTATTATTACCATAAGGGCAACCTAAATCATTTTTAAAAGTAAAAAATTTTTTTTCCTGATTATAAAACTAACACTTGCTCACTGTGGAAAATATGGGAAACTCAGGAGAAGGAAAAAAGAGCAAAATAAAAATCACCTTGGGCTCCAACCCTGTCACTGTTATTTTTCTTGTGTTTTTAAATACAAGCTCAGCTCACAGCCCTTGAAACTTGGGTGGTAGGAGAGAGGCAAAAGGACCATGATTTCAAAACATGGAGCATTTCTGTCAAGAGACTGAGGGACAAGATGGGGGGTGCCGGGGAGCACCTGTAATCCCAGCAGCTTGGGAGGCTAACGCAGGACGATGTTCGGGAGGTCCTAAGCAATGTAGCAAGACCCTGTCTCTAAATAAAAAATTTAAAAGCCTGGAGATGGGGCTGGGGATGTGGCTCAAGCGGTAGCGCGCTTGCCTGGCATGCGTGCGCCCGGGTTCGATCCTCAGCACCACATACCAACAAAGATGTTGTGTCTGCCGAAAACTAAAAAAAATATTAAAATTCTCTCTCTAAAAAAAAAAGCCTGGAGATGTGGCTCAGTGGGTAAGTGCCTCTGGGTTCAGTCCCCAGCACCAATCAAGACAAACAGAAGAAATACTTGGGGACTAAGGGCCAACTATCACTTCTTTGTGGGACAGAAGATTGTGGAGGACCCATCTGTAATTCATGGATAAAGACTCAGATATTATCTAATATCTGTGGAAAACCAGGACCATTAATCCAAGCATAGACATTTTAGGAAAAGCAGCTGTGTGCTTTACTTGGTAATGTAAGTATCTGGATATAGATTAGCAAGAACCACTCTGCACACCGTATGGCTGTGTGTGTGTGTGTGTGTGTGTGTGTGTGTGTGTGGTTCTGAGGACGGAATCAAGGGGTGCTCTACCACTGAGATCATTCCTAGCTCTTTTTATTTATTTTTTTTTTATTTTGAGACAGGGTCTCGTTAAGTTGCTAAGGACCTCACTAACTTGCCAAGACTGGCCTCAAACTTACAATCCTCCTGCCTCAGCCTCCCTAGTTGCTGGGATTATAGATAAAAACCACATCTGGCTCATCTATCTATATCTATATCTATCTATCTATTTATAATGCTTTATTTATTTATTTTTATATATATTTTAAAGGACACAGGTTCTTGCTGTGTTGTCCAGGCTGGCCCTGCACACCTGGACTCAAGCCATCCTCCCATCCTCTTGCCTCAGCCTCCCAAAAAACTGGGAGCCCAGGCACACGCCAACACACTAGGCTTATGTAACATTTTTAAATAGGTATAAGCAATCCTGGGTGTTAGAAGTCCGTGGGGAAGGAAGTGGGAGAGCGTATGTGAGTGTTCCTGGAGTATTGCTACTTGTCTCTTTCTTGGCTTGGAGTATGGTTCTATTCTCATTTTGTGATAATAAGCTGCAGGCTCTTATGGATGCACTATTCTGGATGTCCTGTGGTTTCGGGCTGGGTGTCAGTCAGTGGTGGAGTGCTTGTCTAGCATGCACAAGGCCTTGGCTTCGTCCCCAGCCCTGCAAAAAAAAAAAAAAAGGTTTTTTTTCAAGTCAAGTCTTACTACCTACCCAGCAAAGGGTAGCCCTCATTTCTGTTGCAGATGAGGTATGCCATCCCAAACATGCTGAAGGAAAGAAAAGAGGTCAGATTTAAGATGGGGAAGATGAGGGCCAGAGGGCCTGGCTCTAGTCCCCAGGAGTCTCCCTTTCCATCTCCAGCAAGAGTCTGTCCCTGAATCCAGGGACCCTGGGCCGCAGGAGGGGAGAGGAGCTCCACTTGGTGATAGAGGCCCACAGTCCTGTGCATGCTCAGTGAATGTCTGCTTCGTCTGCTCTGGTAGCAGGGCCCTGGGCAGACCAGACATCCAACAGGGACCCCAGAGTCCTGGCCCTGGGAGAGGCCACCCACACTCACACTTTCTCATTCAGGCCCAAGCACTGATAGACGGGCCCAGAATCGCCAACACCTTTCATCGCTTTCTTTGGAAGCTCTTTAAAAAAGTAGGCTGGGAGGTTGCTGCCGTTGTAGGTGACAGAGTCACAGGACACGATTCCCGGGTAGTACATCATCATCCTGGCGGCTATGTTGACTTTTTGACCAATGACTACAACAGGAAGGAGAGAGTCAAAGAGCAGGGGGAAAAAACAGCCCTTGAACTGAAGGTCATTTGAGGGTCATCCCAAGGGCATTCACCTGTCACCTCCTTTGCCACTCAGGAGTGACACAAGCATTTGGCCTTCTAGTATCCAGTCAGTCAACAGCTACAAGCTCATGGCCCACATGAAACTCACTTAGCCAGCAGCGAAGCGATTCCTCACTTGGGAGGCCCAGAGGACACTGCTGGGGTGGGGGACCAGGGACACGGGGAGGCTCTGCAAGCTGGGTGCCAGGCCTGACCGCTCCCCCATGGGCTCTAGCTGGTTTCTGCCACCGTGGGAAGAGCACGCAATGGGACTGAACTAAACCAGGCACAGACCACTGTGCACCGTGTGGGCCTGAGCCGGTGGCTTCTGAAGTCAACGGGGTGGAAGCGGGGTGCGTGGAGGATGGGCAGAGGGACACCTTGAGAGGGGATGACCACGCACAGGTACTTGGGCTTCAGCTTCCTGTCCACCAGACGGAATGACACTATGACTATCTCAGAGGGTGGATCATGGAGATTAATGAGTCAGGGACGGGGCCGCAGCTCGGTGGTAGGGCTCTTGCCTGCCACAAGCAAGGCCCTGGATTTGATCCCCAGCATCAAAAAAAAAAAAAGAGTTAATATATGCTCACATCTTTGGGTGGTGCCTGGCTGCTTGTAAGCACTCATTTAATATTACTACGAAATGAGCATTAGATATTTCATTTTAACATGAACATTCCTTTCTTGTATTTTGTTTTGTTTTTTTCTGGTGCTGGGGACCAAAGACAGGGCCTCACATGTGCCAGGCAAACTCAGTGCTACTGAGTTACACCCCAGCCAGGTCATCCTTTTATAAACCTTGTCAAATAAAAATTATAGGAGGCCATTGTTTTGGGCTAAGCTCTTGCACTGGGCCCCCAGAAACCAGAGTAAAACTCAAAACAGACTCCCCCATGCCAAAGCTCCCTGTACTCCCACCAAGCTGCCATCTGGACTTGAGGGAAAATCAGGAGCAGGAAACGCTCGTTCCCCAATGGGCCAGCCCCAGTGGCAAGCGCCTGAGGCTCCCTGCCTTTATCCTTAGGCCAGAGCTGACCTGAAGCTGACCAGTCAGGCACTTCCCCATTGTCCCCTGTCCTGCCTTTCCAGGACACCACCCAGGGACCAATCTGCTGTTTGCTCTGTGTCTGCTGTCTCCCGCCTGCTCTGCCCTTCGGGACGCACTCTGTTTTACAGAATGAAGCCTTGCCCGATCCTGTATGATCCTGTATGATCTCTGAACCAGTCTGCCCTTTGACAAACTCTGTGGTGGGGAGCTTCCCTGGCATTCAAGCCCAGATCAACAATGCCCGCGGCCCACCCTGCCCCACCCTCGCCTCTCCACTGCCCACCGAGGACTACTTTGAAGGAAATCTTATGGTGTCACTTTGGACATAAGTATCTCGGGAGCTCGGGGGTGTCCAGCATTTTAGATGCCTGATTGCTCAACCTCTCGGGAGGCAGGGGAGTAGGGATCTCAGCTACTCGTCCCTACTCTTGCATGAAGGTCGTGTTATTTTCAGAAATGCCAATGGTCATCATTTTAAGAAGGGGTCCTGACCTATTCCAAGAGCGAGGGCATTATTACAAAAGCCCCGCTCCATGGGTAGGGCCTCCAGCTCCTCCCTCCAGCGCCTGGTCCCACACAGAGCTCTCAGGACAGCGCTCCTGCTGGGCTCCCTGCTGCTCCGCCCAGGGCCAGCGCTCGGGCTGCTGGGGCTCACCCGTGTACTCGTGCCTCACGGTGTGCCCCACGATGCCACAGAAGACGATCCCACTGGCAACGCCGATGGACACGGTGCTGGCGTGGTGGGGGAGGGATAGATAATGAGCACTTCCAGGATGACAGGAGCAAAGAGGCCTGGGAGGGGGATGGTGAAGGGGGACCCAGCGGTGGTTCTCCCAGGCGGGATCCATGTAGGGCAACTGCACGTGGCCTGGAGAGGAGCAGGAGGGACGAGGCCCAGAACTGGGCCCTGAATTCTTTTCCTCCTCCTTCTCTGTCCTGGGCCCCACCCCATATCTTTTTTGTGTGTGGTGCTGGGGATTGAACCCAGGGCCTGGTGCCGGCGGGGCAGCACTCCACCATGGCTGCATTCCCAGCCCCCCCAGATATTTTCAAAGGGTCAGGGGCAACACTCACTGGATCTTGTGGACCTGAGAGCAGAAGTCGAATATATCCACGGCACTCTCCAAGGCGTGGGAGAACTCGTCAGGGGCCTTCTCCCCCGGGAAGCCAAAGACGCAGAGGAAGGAGCAGCCCTGCGGGGGTCAGCGGGGCCAGTGGCACTGGACTCCCAGCCCAGAGCCACTCCCAGTCTCTGGGTGGGACTTCCTCCAGTGCCCGTCCCCTTGGGCACCCCTCCTGTCTGCTCTCCTGGAGCCCACGTCTTACGCCACGGGCTCTGAGTTGGTCAGAGGGCACAGAGCAGAAGGCGCCAGGTTGGCACTCTGCCTGCCTCCGGTGGAGACCACCCTGTGGGCAGCACGGCCAGACCCTTCTCAATCACTCACTCACTCAACAACGAAAGAGGAGCGGCAGGTAATGAGCCCAGGCTCGGAGACGCTCAGTGGCTCGTGGGGTCACACCGTGCCCTGGGAGCCTGGCCTGAGAGACCTCAGACTGCTCTCTGGGACCCTGGGCTCGTGGACCCTCCTGAGGGGACGGACGGTGAAGTGGGCGCCTTGGAGTCCTGCAGCTCTCTGAGCTGGCAGAGGGCGCTCAGTGGCTGCAGCCTCTGTGGAATGCCCACTGAGTGCCTGCTGGAGGGGCGAGCAGAGGAGGGGCAGGTCACGTGCCCTGCTCCTACCACACAGGGAGGCAGTTCTCACCACCACGTCTCAGGTCACTCGTCCCTCACAGGACAGACCAAGCCCCGATGAGAACAGTGAACAGGCACTTGAGAGCCCGAGAGGAGCCACAGATGCAAACGCTGAGGTGGCAGGTGGCCCTGAGGTGGCAGGTGGGCCCTGAGGTGGCAGGTGGCGGCC